GGCAGCCTGCCTTTCAGAGGAGGCAAAAACCTGTGTGGTGGCTGACCAAGTTGCATTCACCTCCTTCCTCCTGGGTAATCAGATCATATGGGATTGGATCTCCCCAAAGTCCTTGAAATCCTATAGCTGAGTGTATCTAGGCTGCTCTACGCTGTAGCAGACATCAGTGCAGGGGTTTTCCTATGGATAGATATATTTCACAAATGTGAGATGAGACTGTCCTTTGTACTTTCCTTTTCCCTTTGACAGTAGATCTGAAAGAAGCATCAGTGTCATATGACATTTCTATGGGCAGCATCCTTTGGGTACCTGCCTATGGTCAGGACCCAGAGTGTGTGTTTACGATGCTGAAGTTTGTGGCTTATTTTCCTTTATTCCTGAGTAGCACCCAGGACAGGGTATCAACAACAGTCACAGAACATTCAAGAACACAAAGGTCCCCTCAGGCACGCAATAATAGTTAACGCTTCTATTCTGGAGATGAGAGAGTAAAGCTCAGTCAGTTGCAGGTTTTTCAACATAATTTTTTTTTTTCTTTGTCTGTTTTTACATGTCTTTTGTGTGCCTGGTCATATAGTGCTCATCTGCCTAGCTCCCTAGAGAGGCATTACACATGCAAACCACAGGATTCATTTCTTCTAAGTCTGGAAAAGTTTAGCCAGAGTGAAAATTACTTGGGGAATAGCAGAGGTTAGGTTTACAAGGTGTCAGAAGTCAGAACTAAGGATTAGTCTTTTTTTCTTAGATGATTTTTCTAGCGCATATATATGAAAGATTGAATAGGACAAAGAAATGTAAAGAGAGTGAAAGTTACCCATTTCTACCACCAGAAATATCCATAATTTTATTTTGGCATAATTTCTCCCTCCCTCCCTCCTTTCTTTATTCCTCCCTTCCTACTTCTTTCTCAGACTATAAATATATTTGTAATTCTGCATTTGTCATGAAACATTGCATCAAGGATTTTTATGTCATTTAAAGAAAAAGATTTTGCTAATTTATAGGGACTATTAACTGATTTTCATTTGTGTTTCCTTAATATCCTAGTGAAGGTTAACATTTTTTTAAATGCTTATTGTCTTTTCGTATTTAATCATAGTAGTTTTTCAACTTTGTGTTTTCTATAAAGTTGGAAATGTCACTAAGGCAAGCTTCTCATTTCAGATGTCCTGAATGATGCCATATTTGATGAAGACCATGATGAAATGGTGATCGTGAAGGACATAGATATGTTTTCCATGTGTGAACATCATCTGGTTCCGTTTGTTGGAAGGGTAAGGTTTTCCTTGTTGTTGTCTAACAATTTAAAAAATATAATGGAGCCAGGTGCCGGTCATGCCTGTGATCCTAGCTACTCAGGAGGCAGAGATCAGGAGGACTGGGGTTCGAAGGCAGCCCAGGCAAATAGTTCCGCGAGACCCCCATCTCAAAAAACCCCATCACAAAAATGGGCTGGTGGAGTGGCTCAAAGTGAAGGCCCTGAGTTCAAGCTCTAGTACCACAAAAAAATTTAAAAAAGCATAATGGAAAGTTTTAAAATTAGTATAATTATATTAAAAATCATTAGCTGCTAATTCCTAATACCCTGAACATTTACAGTTGCATGTAGATGTTCACTCTGTATCATTCTGACTAATCTAATAACTTGAAATTAAGAAAAGAAAACCCAAACCGAAGTAGCAGATAGCCTCCAGAGTAAACCTTACCTACTAAATACCATGTTAACAGGTGAAGATAATGAGATTAAGTAGCATGATTTGTTTTTATATGGGTAGCTGCTACAGACTCTGAAAACCTTTGCCCTTTTATTTGACTGAATAATGCTTGATCCAAGATACATGTGTACATGAGCAGTAATGAGTGCAGAATTTCTTGGGACAGAGGTTATGGTATTAGTGGATTTAATTTTACCCATGCCTTTCTATATTAGGAAAAATGAATTGAATGCAACCTAGATAACACCAGTTTGTTGTACTTAAATGTACCTTCAAGAATGTGAGTGTTCAGGATAAAGAGTTGTCCTAGTTCCTCCACTCTCATATAACTTTATTTTGGCTTTTTAGTAGTAATTCTCAAGCATGAGACTTGCAGGAAAGAGTGTTATGAATATTACCAATAATACCAAAATTAATAAGTATTAACATTTACTTACATTTTTTTGGTTAAAGTATTTTATTTTTTCACTTTTTTATAGAAGTAAACCCCAAAAATGAACAAAACACACAAAAGGGTGTTTATTTTCTTTGTTACGTGTTACTGCATTGTACCAACATGTCATAATTTGTCTGTTCTGTTCTTAGTGATGTTTATGTTTCCTATTTTTCTTGATATTATAAACAATACTGCTATCAACTTTCTTTTGGTGCCCATATATATGCATTTCTGTTAGGAATGTATCTAAGGGCAGGATTTCAGGCTCATAGTGTATTCTTGTGTTCACCTGACTCAGTGCTGAACTGTGGATCTCCAAATTGGTTGTATCTATTTATATGCCAGCAGTATAGTGAATTTCTAATTTCTTCACATTCTTACCAATCCTTGGCACTTTTAGTCTTAAGTTCAATATTTGGTCGTGTGTATAGTGGTATCAGTCTTTTTACAAAAACAAAAACAACTTTTATCATGGGAAATCTCAAACATATATAACAATAGAAAATAAAGTTTTGTGTTCTTATTAATTTCCATACTTATCAGTACAAGACCAAATATGATATATATAGGTCCCCACTGATTATGTTGAAGCAAATCTCAGGCATTATATTATTTTAATTTCTTCTAGTGTATCTCTAAAGAATTTTTAAAAGAAAACTCCCTGTTTAGCAAGCTCAACTCAAGGCCCCGAGTTCAAACCCCAGTACTGCTACCCCCAAATTAAGAATCCACTCAAAGATTTTCTTGGGATGGAGGAATGGCTTGAGCCATAGAGCACTTTCCTAGCAAGCACAAGGCTCCAAGTTTATACCCCAGTACATCGCCCCCCAAAAAAAACCCAGTAAGTCTTTTAACATGCTAAAAAATAAAACATTATGAATAACATGACTTTTCATCTCTAATCATTAACTGACATTTCTGAAATATTTACTGACCCACACTAGCAATTAATATTAATAGTATCATTAATTAGTATTAATTAGCAGCATCTCTAAAGTATCTTTTATCCACAGAAGCATGACCATAAACAAAATCATCAGTAAATCCTAAGTAGCATCTATCCCATATTTAAACTTCTCCAGTTGTTTCAAAAATGTTACTGTTGGTTTGTTTAAAGAAGAATCCAGTTAAGAGTCACATTTGTATTTTCGTTGCATTTGGTTGTGTCTTTTTAGTCTCTTTTCTTCTAAAATAGCCCCTCCTCCCCTACATTCTCCTATAGAAGAGATGAGGCCTATTGCTCTGCAGAGTGTTCCTTCTGGATTTGTTTCATTCAACCTTTGGATTTCCTAAAAACTAGATTAGATCTAAAGTGTCACAGTTTTAAAGCTGAACATTTTCCTTTTTTGGGCAGTAGTGGGGTTTGAACTCAGGGCCAGGCAGGTGCTATACTTCTTAAGCTATGCCCCCAGCCCTTTTTGCTTTAGTTATTTTCCAAATAGGGTCTCTTGTTTGTGCCAGGGCCAATCTGGGTTGGGATCCACCTATTTTACACTTCTCATGTAGTTGGGATGCCAGACGCTTATTGCCATATTCAGCTTTTTTTATTGGTTGAGATGGGGTCTCCTGAACTTTTTGTGTGGGCTGGCATCAAACTTTGATCCTCCTGATCTCCACCTCCTGAGGTACTAGGATTACAGGTGTGAGTCACTGTCCCTGGCTTAAGGCTGAACATTTTTAACAGAAGTAGTTCACAGGAATTCTGAGGACTTCATATAATACTGTATCAAGAGACATGCAGTGTCTGGTAATCCTCAGTTAATGATGAGGGAACCTTTTAGTTCATCTCTGCCTTTTATTGTAGGTAAGAAGATTAAGCTCTGTTCAAGATGATATGAAGTGTTCATGACCTGGCCTGGGCTAGTACCAAGATGTTTGATCCTGTAGGCATCCTGCTGCCTTCTGCCATAATTACCTCTGTTTTTGTGTTCTGGCTAACTTTGTCTTTTAGATACATGGTTTAGTGATGGTTTTCTAAAAATGGACATTTAAATGACTTAGGATCTTAAGGAAAACCCAAACAGTAAAAGCTATAAACACATTCTAGTTCTGTATAAAAGTGAAAATTTCAAGCAGTTCAGAAGACATTGGTTACATGGGAAAGTTGTAAGTCTTTAATTTTTGTTTGAAACACCCAATATACAAGTGTACTTTACTTTCTTCTCTTGCCTGCCAGGAAGGTGTTATGGTAGAATCCTCTTTAAGGCTAATGAAAAAAAGATCACTAAGTCCTACTTTATCAATTATGTAACTGTAGGTAAATATCAGGTGAACAAATAAAAACTTTCATGATTCAGATGTGTCTGTAATTTTATATCTGGTTAATTGCCTACAGCTGACCATTTACTTTATTAGAAAGCTAATGTTTTCTCATACTTAGTAGTTGGCTCCAAAGAAGTAACATTTACATATTAGATATTCAGTGGTGCCTTCTAAGATGATAGAGGTGGCTTTGCCATATGGTAGTTCATGTAAAAACTTGTTCTTACCGTGCATTTCTGCCAAACCACAGTGGTGATTGTGTCTTTTTTCTTCTGTCAGGACAATGGAGCTCTCCTAGCTCTCCCTAAAAATGGGGCAGCCAAGCAAAAAAGCTCATAGGGATCACTGAGTAGCAGGGCTCAGCAGTGGGGTTCCTGAGGCTACTGTGATGTATGGAAAGGCAACATGTATATTTATAGTTCCTGCCATTTAATGGAGTCCTCCTGGTTATGTCTTGATGTTGCTGCAGGGTCATTTGCCCTTTCTTGAGAATTTTTCCTCTCCAAAAATTTGTATCAACAATTTAACTTTATCAGGGAATCAAATACACTTTAAATGTGTCATTTGATTAATTTATAGTCTTCTTTACCGTCTTTATACAGTTTAAGAATACTTATATAATTGCTTCATTTTATAAGTCTTAAAGCTTCTAAATGTTTTAAAGATACATTGCCATTGCAGTGAATTTACATGTAAGTATACCATGGTTTTCTATATTCCCTCATTTACCTCATGATTTCTGTCTCTTCTTTGAAGGTCCATATTGGTTATCTTCCCAACAAGCAAGTCCTTGGCCTCAGCAAGCTTGCAAGGTAAGTATGACTGGATTGGTGAATAGGAAAACAGGTTTATAGATTTGCCCCTCTCTGCTGAGAATCTGTCTCACCAAGATTTCTCTCTTTACCTATATGGACATAACTTAGAAGTCATATTGCAATTTACATTTATAGTTGCAAAGGCAATCAGACTTAGAGGGCCTGAAATACAAAGGCCTTCTCTTCTCATCCCCCATTGCCTGTTCCATTTCTGCCCCAGTCCATGCTTAACATCTCAGATCACATCTTTCTCTGTAGAGTTTCCCAGACTGGAGAAGACCCAAGGTTACCTCCAATCCAGCCCCATGTTTTAAGGCATTTAATTAACAGGGAGGTATGGGAAAGGAAACACAGATGGGGATCCAACCATTGCACTTTTTCAGACTTTAAAAAAATTTTTTGAAGTTGAAGATCATTTGTATTTATGGAGAACAGTATCCAATGCATTATAGGAAATACCTTAGTGCTTACATAGTAAATCCTAAGGACAAAAATAGGTCCAGAAGACTGGAATTGGTCTCACGTGCACAGCATGGCCAAGTCTTGTGAAGACATATGTCACACACTTTTAAAAGCAGATAATGCTCCTTGGTGAATGCATACCACCTGAAGACTTTCACACATCTCTTCTATTCACACATTCTCTCCATAGTGTATTCTTTTATATGAATTGAACCGAGATGATTAGAAGCTTTCCCTCAGGATTTCCACTGATAGTTCTCTCCACTGTGCATTCTCATGAGTGCTAGAAGGGGCATTGATAATGAAGCCTTCCCATGTTTTGTATTTCAGATAGTCTCTCTAGTGTGAATCCTTTTGTGTCTGTGAAGGAAACCAGAAAAAGCAATGGCTTTCCTACATTGCTTACACATATAAGGTTCCTCTCCATTGTGAGTTCATTCATATCTTTGAGAGTTACCTATAAAACTGAAGAGTTTCCCACATTGTTTACATCCATAGGACTTCTGCCCAGTGTGAGATCTGTTATGTCTGAGAAGGAAACCAACCACTGGCGGCTTTCCCACATTGTGTCCATACATAGGGTTTCTATCCAGTGTGAGTCCTTCCATGCTCAGAGAGCATTGGGGATAACTGAAGGTGTTCTCACCTTCCTTGCATTTCTATAGCTTTTTTCCATGTTTCTGATACTTACACAGTTTGTATCCAGTCTGAACTCCAATGGACATGCTTAGGGATGAATGTCCACTAAGGACTTCTATATCTACATGGCTTTCATGTGGTTTTACCCCAGGAGTTTTCTTGTTCACACACGATCTGGAGACAAGCTGGAGATTTCTCCACAATGACTACCTTCTTTATGTTCATGGTATCAGTGTATACATCTTGTCTTTCTCCTGGAATTTTTATAATCACCTTCAATGTTCTGGTCTTCTTGTTCCTTCCAGCTTTTGGGGTACTCTAGTGTCCTAACTAAGACTCCTAGGGATCACAGAGTGATAGGGAAGACTCAACAGCTGAGATGTTATGAGTATTTGTTTTCAGACTTTTAATCAAACCTCCATGTAAGGCCCTGGCCTCCATCCTTCCTTTCTCTGTACCTGTGCCTCAAACATCTCAATGGGTCCTATAGGCCAGGCCGTTCATCTTTAGATTATTCATCTCTGCAGACCCAAGACTGCTTTCCTTGGCTTTGCACAGTTCTGTTCCCAGAAAAGACTCACTGTCTTCTCTCCTGTTTTTTTCTCTTTTCTGTTACAGTCTCCTTTACCATTTTTTTTTAATCATGTGGGTTCAAGTATTTAAAAAAATTCCTTTGTTACCACTTTTATTTGAGTTTTAAGAAGGAAAGGTGATATGTATGTATGGCCACTGGTGTTTAATTGGAAGTCGGCATGAGGTCTGTGTTCATATATCTCACACACGCCTAGCCATCAGTACTTTATTGCTATTAAATATCCTTTGGTATTGCAATTTGTTCGTATACAGTTGTGAATCCCAGATGATGGCGAAACTACTGGGAGGTGTGTGTGTGTGTAGAACAAAATGAAAGTAGGTAATGAATGAACATAGTCCTTACATTAAAGCTAAGTTTGAATTACTTGATGGAGGTTATAGTGATCCTTTCACAATTGGAACAAATGAATCTCTGTGACAAACTGTTTTGTGGTTCTAATGGGTTCCTGCTGCTTCTGTACTGGGAATCACCACAGTCCTGCAACAGGGACACAAATCTTTTTCAATTCTATGTTGGAATCTGTACAAACCACCCCAGCAGTGTTGTAGCTGTACTCCATGGCTGTTCCTTTGCTTTGTTTTTGCTTCCATTTTTCTTATTCATTTCCTCTGGAAAAAACAGGTTGATGAGAGAAATTTAATTTCCCCAGTTTCTGACCTCATTCCTTCTCAGTAACCATGTCACTTGCCAGGGCTACTTGGCACCATGAAGAATGATACTATATACTAGCTGTAATTGCCTCACTGTAATAAAGTGCTAAACATAAATCCAGAAACATCATAGCTTCTGGCAGTGATTTGTCTCTGGTTGCAGTGCCAAGGGTTGACTGAGCAAAGGGTATTGGTATTTATTGAGGGCAGTTTGTTTTACTGTAATTTTTATTATCAACTCCTTCCCTAGTTACTTACTCCCAAGTAATAATAAAGTCAGTTTCATGTCAACTGTGAATAACAGTAACTGTACTATAATTGGTTATTTTTTATAGTTTCATAATTTATAGTTTTAAGTAAAATGAGCATGCTCACTGTGCAAACAAAACCATAGGCCCCAGTTGTCTGGTGTCTTCCCTTCCAACAGTACTGCCAACTCTGCACCTTTCCCATGGGAATTCTGGCACTGCTGAGATGGTAACACACTGTCCATATGGAGCGGACAGCTCTCATATTATAAAAAACTGAACCAACCACATTAGGCTTAGGCTTTGGTGTTTTTTGTTTTCCTTTTTTAGATTTCAGTGCATCTGGGATTTCTTTTTTCCCTATTTTTATTAGCATGTATCAATTGTAGGAAGTATTTCATCTGCTTGGTCTAGTATATTGTTGCTTTCCATTGAATTGATTTATTAAGCCTTTTATTTCCATTATTTTTTTCAGAACCTCCGTCTCTTTGCTGAATTTCTCATTCAAGTTTTTGAATTTCTCATCTAGGTCTTGAATTGACTACTTCATTCATCTGTTTATTTGAATCCACTTTGAGGTCATTGATTCTTTTAAAAACTAGACTTGAATTCTTTGGTATTTCAGCCATTTCACTATCTTTGGATTTAGTTATTGAAGACTGAACTTTCAAAGGAGTCAGATTGCCTTACTCTTTCATATTTCTTATATTTTTAAGTAGGATTTGTGCATCTGTTGGAATGATGTCTTTTCTAGTTTTATTCAGGGGTCATCTTAGTGAGCAGCCTTCTCTTGACTCAATCCCCAGTACCACTCAGAGAGGAGAAACAAACCACCATAACAGCAACAATGCCAAAACAAACCAGGTATAGAAATTCAATTAAAATAAATCAAAGCCAACTACTCCAACACCAATAACCATATAAAAGAAAGCATAAAAAATGTAGACTAAATTATGAAGTGAAATATAAATTAAGGTAACAGTAATAATGAGTGAAATATGGAATGGGAAAAAAGAAGCAAGCTAAATAAAAAAAAAGGAGAAGGATGTGAGGAAACGAAAGAGCATGAGATTAAAAACTTTTCTGAAGAAAATACACAAATAAAAACAGATAAAGGTAAGAAAAGGAATAAAAAAATAAAACCAAAAGATTTTAAAAGCTAAAACCAGGCTGGGCACCACTGGTTGACGCCTGTAATCCTAAACTACGCAGGAGGCAGAGATTAGGAGAATTGTGGTTAGAAGCCAGCCCAGGCAAATAGTTCATGAGACCCTATCTCGAAAATACCCATCACAAAAAAAAGGGCTGGTGGAGTGGCTCCAGGTGTAGCCCTGAGTTCAAGCCCCAGTACCGCAAAAACAAAAAAAAAAAGCTACAATCAGTATTAAAAATATAGTAAAAAGATAAGTTTTTAAAAGTTTAAAAAATGAAAAAGAATTGGACAAGGTTCTTTCTGAGTTCTGTATCATTGCATTCTGCCAGCTTGGGGGGAGGGGTGAGTCATAGCTGGGATTAGTTGCAATTCCTGCTGTTCAGGCTGGTGCTGTATGTAGGCTGAGGACCCGGTTAGTCAGTAGTCAGCTTCAGGGCTGCTTCCCTTCTTTGTGTAACCCAGAGCCACTGCTGGCCCCAGTGAGCTTTCTGGCCTGTAGGCAGATTCCTGCTTGCTCTAGAGGCCCTCAGTTTGTACAGCCAGCCACAGCAAACATCCCAAATGTTTCAGAGAGTGGGGGAAAATGAATGGCACTGAGATCTGTACTGGAAGGGCAGAACCAGGGTACCCAGCACTTTTCTTGCTGGTCTCTATGCTTTCAGATCCCACCCAGTAGCAAACCACGCTGTGGAAGGGAGGAGGCTGGAGAAATCCAGTGATCTGTTGGACTGGGCTCAGACCTCTTGATCCCACCTGGTAGCAACCACACGTGGCAGGGAGACACCACTAGAGGCTGAGCAATCTGCTGGCTTTGGCCCAGGCTTGGAACTCTCAGTCTCAGCAGTAATCTTCAGGTAATGGGACTTGGTCCTTTGCACAGGGGTGGGGCCACTGACTACTGCACTGTCCTCATCATGAGCCCCCTACTGTCTCAACCGCTCTGCCTGTCTGTGTCTGACCCTCCCACTCTCCATGCCTATCTCTGTGGCTGTCTCTCAACCCAAACACTGACAGGGTGTTGGCTCCCTGACTTGTGATTGTTCCTTGTTTTCAGGTCCCAAACAATAGGCCACTTCTTAAGAATGGCACCTAACTATAGCACTCCAATGTATGGGGAGGAATGTAAATTTCTTCTCTAACGTTGACCGGCCACAGAGGAATCAGTGTCATGTGAAATCCCTTGAGTGGCTTTAAGGCTTGTAAGACTGTGAGCTTCTCCTGCAGCAGCACTGCCTGTTGGTTGTCACCAG